GATACACAAGAAAACAAGGACAATGTTTATGCACAGGTATGTGAATTCAAGATTGTTCAAGAGGAAGTGACATCACCACCTCCACAACCATTCCCACCATGTGCATATTTAAATTGGGGACCTGGCACTGCATTCTTCAAATATGGTCTTCAGACATACCAGACTACAGCTACAATCTTAACGAGAGAGGGCAAAGTAGAATTACAAATTAGAATCCCTAAACAAATGCAATTTATGGCAAAATTAAAGCATAATGAAATGAGTGACTCTGAACTTGAAGGTTATATAATGAACCGTGTTGTAGGCAATACTGCATACTTCAACATCACGGCACCATGTAGAGGAGAATTTGGTTTGGAAATCTACGCCAACGATCCTTCAGTGGAAGGTCAAACCTTGTATCATGTAGCCCAATATATGATTGAATGTCACGAAGACGTGAAAACCGTTCCACTACCCAAATTGCCACATGGTTATCTAGGGCCACAACCAAAATTTAATGAATTTGGTTTGAACACTCTTAGTCATCATGATTCTGTCATTCATTTAGAAACAAATTCAGTAGAAATCCAATTTGCAACTGCTCAAGAAATGAGAGTGACTGCCAATTTAATTGGAGTCGAAGATGAGAAAGAGCACCCAGATCTGGTCTTTACACAAACACAAGGGTCTATTGTCAGTTTTGTTATCCACATGCCAGCAACAGGCTTCTACAAACTACAGCTGTATGCCATACCAGCACGTGATCCCAGCCAACAGCTTCCAGGGGTATACAACTATTTGATCAACTGTCAGAAAGCCACTCGTCCTGCTGTACCTTTCCCCAAGCAGTATGCTCAGTGGAAAGAAGGATGTTACATGTGGGAGCCTTTAACACTGCACAGAGATACCACTGCCGCAACTGTCAACTTCAGAATTGGAATACCAAAAGCAGAGGCAGTGGCAGTTGTAGCTGATAGTGACTGGAGTCATCTACAGTCATCACAACCAGGTGTCTGGGAAGGTAAAGTGCCACTAGATAAGCACTACGGTAGAGGAGTCAAGGTCACTGTTAACGCTAATTATGGTGGAGACAAAACAAATTACGCTACCTTGCTTGAATATAACATTTAACTTTAACCAATTTGTGTATCATGCATTTCTAATTCTTTTAATTAGTGATTAGTTCTAAAGTGACATGATTCAAACATCCAAAATCTGAGTGAGTCACTTAAAAAAAAATTGCAATCTGTAAAAAAAAGGTAGTTTTGGTTTGTTATATGAAAGCTTATCATTTTATTTATATTTGCATAGTTCAGTGTAACCAGCTCATGACATCATATTTTCGATAAAGAAACATTCAAATTTCATATCCCTTTGAAACTTATCACACATTATTAAGTAGCTGCAATTTTTATTTTATATGCAACATTTGCTTTTAGTTTTTCTGTGATAGGCATTAGGTATATATATTATTGATGCTGTAGAGCACATGATTTTTAATTGTTCTTTGTTGTGCCTTTGCCAGATATGTGTATTGAATGTTACATGTGTAAGGTCTTATGTGCCTCTTCTGACCGATGTGTATTTAAAACAGAATCTCTGTTCATACTTCATATCTGTTCTAGAACTATTTTTAAAATTGAATAGTTTTTGTTTCTTTTTTAAATATAAAAGAAAGTAAAGAAGCCAAAGTTTTGTTAAGATTTATTCTAATTGCTGGTTAATTAGAAGGGAAATATTTTAGTGAAAATACAGAGAATGAAACTATTGAATGAATTGTAAAAGTGGGCATTAAATTCAATAGAATTTTGTGTTGGTTTTATCCAGTGAACTATTTTTCATTCAAGCTACTTCAATAAGAAAGTTGTCTTATATATAAAGAACAAATAAGCTTATTCATTGAAAACACTGGCTATACATTTTGTAGAATTAAGTCATATTCTTGTTTGTTGATTTAGTGAATTAAGATGTGACAGATTTAAATTCATTTTGTTACTAAAAGGGTCTTAACAATTCATGATGATTGCTGTATTTTAGATGTATATCTCATAACTTTAAATTTCATTTTTTGGAATGAACAGTGCAATAGACAAACAAATTAGTGTTTAGTTTCGTTGTGTTTTTTTTTTTTAACTAAAAAGATTTGATCATATAAAAAGTTAACACATAACAAGTTTGAGGTGTACTGGAACAATCCTATAAAAAGTTAACAGATAACAAGTTTGAGGTGTACTGGAACAGTATTGATTTGTTAAGAAGTTTTTGATGATAAATGTCTGTTATAAAAGATGGTGCATACACATAGTTTTGTTATTGAATTTTACAGAATATTTAGTGTTAATTAATTATGGGACAATATGCAATGATTAATTGTTAATGATTTTGTGGGTACATTGGTTAGAATAAAACATTTAATTACCAGAGAACAAACATGTTTTTATCGCAGTTTTTCTTTTCTATACAAAAGTTATGCAAGCTTAAAGCACTGCATTTTCTGCTGTACATAAATGAAAACTCTTTCAAAATATTTTGACATCAATTTGAAATCAGCTTTTTACATAATGGTTGATGCCTTCATTTCTCATCCAAGAATTTAAATACTCAAAATGACTACCTGTATTGAAAATTTTCTACATTTTTTACCTACAAAATTTTTACAAGTGAGAAATGATATTGTCCAAATTTAGTTCTTCCAATTTGCATGATGGTAGTCCAATACTATAGAACTACTGAGGATATAGTTATATCTTGCTGGACATTTTCTTATCTTAAATTTATTGAAAATGCTTGTAAGCTTATAAAATTTATTGTTATTAGATATTAAATCAAGCAGTGCTTATACTTGTTGAATTTATTATTTTTTATGAAATCCAATTTTTATCAAATATGAAAACCTTCCGAATTTCAAATCTTGTTGGACATTATGAAAGACAACTAATTTGATCTAGAATCTCTGTTCCTAATTTATAACTGTTCTAGAACCTTAACTTGGTTTTTTGTTGGGTTCGAGTTGCCCAGTCTTTGGTTTTCTATGTCGTGTTTTGTATACTGTTGTTTGTCTTTTGTTTTTGTTTTTGCCAAGTGTTTTCAATATAAAAATAAGAAGATGTGATATGATTGCCATTGAGACAACTCTCCACAAGAGACCAAATGACACAGAAATTAACAACTATAGGTCACCGTACGGCCTTCAACAATTGAGTAAAACCCATACCACATAGTCAGCTATAAAAGACCCCAAAATGACAAATGGAAAACAATTCAAGCGAGAAAACTAATGGCCTGATTTATGTACGAAATAATGAACGAAAAACAAATATGATATATAGAAACAAAGGACAACCACTGAATTACAGGCTTCTGACTTGGGACAGGTACATACAGAATGTGGCTGGGTTAAACTAGTTTGAAGGCGCGCCAACCTTCCCCCTATCCTAGGACAGTGGTGTAATAGTACAACATAAGAAACAAACTATAAAAATCAGTTGATAAGGGCTTCACTCATCAGATCGATACAACGCAGAAATATATCTAACAAAAACACAGAGTGGATGTGGCAGGGTACTTATACATCCCCACAACAAAAAGACACTAAGTACAGATCTGTAAGTACTTGCAGTTACTGACAGCTAATTCAAAGCCAATAACAACTAATAAAAAATCGTGCATCTAAGACTAAAATATCAATCAGTACACATCCAACATCCAATAGATTTAGTGTAAAGACATCATTAACAGTTAAGAGAAAAACATGACCTTGTGTAATGCCAAGATACAGGTATCGACAGATTGTAGAGCCATGAATGTGCATATGTAATTAAAAATAATATTTAGTTTGATTTTAATTTACTGATAACAAAATCAATATTAATACCAATAAAAACAATATTCAAAGATCTAATTATAGTTTTGAATCTATACCCTTTTAGAAAAAGTTTATTTAAAGGATCAATAAGTTTACCCAAATAGTATCTAAATTTCCGGGCTCAGTTTATTTTCGACTTGTGCGTTTGAATGTCCCCTTGGTATCTTTTGCCTCTCTTTTGCAATCAAAGTGGGTAAGTATTTAAATCTTTGACCATTTTCAGTGGTTGCAGTAGTAAATTAACATGGTCACTTGTCTGAATTAAAGGGTATGCCTGTTGGTAAAAAGGATGTTTTATTTGTGATGATCTAGACTTTTTCATGGAAGATATGCCCTTTAAGATAAAAACATTTCTCATAATTGATGCAGTTGGAATTTAAATAAATTTTTTAATATGAGTAAAAACCTATTTTGGAGGGGAAAATATAATCCATTCAAAACAATTGGTATATTTATAGGGAATATTTTGATACTCAAAAGGTGCCATAAATACCTAATGAAGAAAATGAAATCACAAACTATTTTTATATGACCGCAAAAAAATTTTTGTGGTCGTATATTGGTATGACGTTGGCGTCGTCGTCGTCGTCTGGCGTCGTCCGGCGTCGTCCGAAGACACATTGGTTTTCGCACTCTAACTTTAGTTTAGGTGAATGGATCTCTATGAAATTTTACCACAAGGTTCAATACCACAAAAGGAAGGTTGGGATTGATTTTGGGGGTTATGGTACCAACAGTAAAGGAATTAGGGGCCAAAAATAAGCATTTTTGTAACTTCCAGACATAACTTGTGTGTTAGTGTATGGATCTCTCTGACATTGTACCACAAGGTTCCATATCACAAAAGGAATGCTGGGATTGATTTTGGGGGTAATTGCCTCAAAATATTAGGAATTAGGGGCCCAAAAAGGGGCAAAAAAACAAGCATTTTTTCTAGTTTCATGACAATTACTTGTGTGTAAGTGCATGGATCTTTCTGAAATTGTACTACAAGGTTCCATATCACAAAGGAAAAGCTGGAATTGAGTTTGGGGGTAATTGCTGAAACGTTTAGGAATTGGGGGCCAAAAAGGGGCCAAAAATAAGCATTTTCTAGTTTCCAGACAATAACTTGTGTTCAAGTGTATGGATCTCTCTGAAATTGTACTGCAAGATACCATACCACAAAGGGAAGGCTGGGATTGATGATGGGGGTAATTGCCTCAATATTTTAGGAATTAGGGGCCAAAAAGGGGCAAAAAACAAGCATTTTTCTAGTTTCAGGACAATAACTTGTGTGTTAGTGTATGGATCTTTCTGATATTGTACTACAAGGTTCCATATCACAAAGGGAAAGCTGGGTTTGAGTTTGGGGGTAATTGCCCTAATTGTTTAGGCATTTGGGGCCAAAAAGGGGCCAAAAAACACATTTTTCTAGTTTCCAGACAATAACTTGTGTTCAAGTGTATGGATCTCTCTGAAATTGTACTGCAAGGTACCATACCACAAAGGGAAGGCTGGGATTGAGTTTGGGGGTGATGAATCATAAGGGGGTTCAAAAAATTGGGGGGGGGGGATTTTTTTTTTTTTTCCTTTTTTTTCTTTTTTTCCTTTTTTTTTTCTTTTAAAATTTTCCATTTTAAGTTGGTTATTTCTGATTTATATTTAAAAGCAAATAATAATGATATGGTAGGAGATACACACCAAACAGGATGTGTAAATTATTATATAATAAGTATTGTGCAATAGCAAGAAATTTTCAATTGCACAGTATTGCAATATAGCAAGAAATCTTCAATTGCACAGTATTGCGCAATAGCAAGAAATCTTCAATTGCACAGTATAGCCCAATAGCAAGAAATATCCAATAGCACAATATTGCGCAATAGCAAGAAATTGTCAATTGTACAGTATTGCGCAATAGCAAGAAATATTTAATTGCACAGTATTGTGCAAAAGAAGATACTTCGTATAAATTGCTTATTTCTTGACCAATTTCAATGGGGTTTTATTCTTGAATTCTTGGGGTTCTTTAATATACTGAATCTAACCGTGTATTTAGTTTTTGGATTTTGGGCCCCGTTTTTAAATTGGTCCACATTGAGGTCCAAAGGGTCCAAAATTAAACTTTGTTTGATTTCATCAAAAATTGAATTATTGGGGTTCTTTGATATGCCGAATCTAACCGTGTATTTAGATTCTTAATTTTTGGTTCCGTTTTCAAATTGGTCTACATTAAGGTCCAAAGGGTCCAAAATTAAACTTAGTTTGATTTTAACAGAAATTGAATTCTTAGGGTTCTTTGATATGCTGAATCTAAACATGTATTTAGATTTTTGATTATGGGCCCAGTTTTCAAGTTGGTCTAAATCGGGGTCCAAAATTAAACTTTGTTTGATTTCAACAAAAATTGAATATATGGGGTTCTTTGATATGCTGAATCTAACCATGTATTTAGATTTTTGATTTTTGGGCCCCGTTATCAACTTTGTCCACATTGAGGTCAAAAGGGTCCAAAATTAAACTTTGTTTGATTTCATCAAAAATTGAATTCTTGGGGTTCTTTGATATGCTGAATCTAACCATGTATTTAGATTTTGGATATTGGACCATAATAGGTGAATGTCCAATTTAAAATTTTTAAGTTCTTAGACCACATTCATTCTGTGTCAGAAACCTATGCTGTGTCAAATATTTAATCACAATCCAAATGCAAATCTGTATCAAGCTTGAATGTTGTGTCCATACTTGCCCCAACTGTTCAGGGTTCGACCTCTGCGGTCGTATCAAGCTGAGCCCTGCGGAGCATTTTATTCATATATTCCATAGAAAATGGCATATTTGAAAATTGCTAAACCTTCATTGTATTTTGCAGTTGATGAAATTCCAACTTTCTTGTTTAAATTGAAGTTTCAGTAATGGAGGTAAATGATATACCAATTGATATATGTTCTGCTGATGCAAACTATCCTTCCGAAGATCACAATTATTGCTGTTTCATTTCTGTTGTATCAAAAGTAACCCCTAAAAAAAATTAAGGTCTGTTTTTTTCAATTATTTGCCTTTACATTAGCGTTGAGAATTTTCTGGGTGTGTTATAAAAGACAAAAGAGTGTTAAAATATAGCATTTTATGAAGAGTCTGTGGAGGAGTGATTATATCCGGTGGAGTGAATCTTGTATAAATAGTCGAACCTGTTTGCACTTTAGATAACTACTGGTTTACTCTTAACACAGAACCTCAGTTCAGCCTCTATGTTTTGTCTCTGGCAAATGTTGTAGAATGCAAGATCGGGATGCTAAGTAGGTATGGACAGTGTCAGCTATTTGTGTTAAGCGTTATATTTCTAAATGTAGACAAGATTGGTAATCGAAGTTTCATATTCAGATTACTTGCGGTCTGAAGTTTTCTTCTGTCATATGCCTAATATCCTTGACCTTATTTTCATGGTTCAATGACTGCATAAAAAAATTGTTTATTTATCACTTGATATTTTGTCTTCTCTGTGAAGAATGTCACATAATAATGCGGAAATATGGGGATGCTAATCTGGCGGCGGCAGAAACTATTTCTTTTACAGCTTCAGAAGGTAGAAATACCTAAATACTTTATTTCTTGTATGCAGATGTCTTATGTCCTGAACTTTCCATCTTGCTTTTATACTGGAACTCATTTTTATGGTTCAGTGAAGGCTAAAAAAACATTTTTCTCATTTATGAAAAAAAAGATAATTATATTTGGTCTATATAATCATTGTTAGGCCCACAAGTCTGACACAGACAGGTTGAACCGAACTTGGTCTCATATCATTGATCAATGATTCAACGTTGGGATTGGAACAGCATGCCACTAAAATTCAATTCAAATAACACACACTTTCACTACTCCTTTGACAACACACTCTAAGACAAAGGTCCAATCCAATTTGTCGAATGTCACGAACATACAATATCCTAGTTCCCTACATCATATAGTACAACTCGATGATGTTATATGAAAATCATACTTGGAATACATTTAAAGAATTGTATTACCACCACAAATTGATGAAACTCATTTTGTCACTAAAAAAACAGGAAAAAATTGCAATATGCAAAAGAATACTCAATTTCATCCGATATCAAAATATTTTTTTAAAACTACTAGGTGTACAAAAACTATAACACAACTTAAATCCAAACTAAGTTGCAGAGCCAGATGAAATTAAACCAATAAGATTTTTAAAAGAATGCATATTGAATCGGACAATCTCACTGACTTCATTTTTTAGAAGTCCGTTAAAACAGGTTTTAAAGCAAGGACAGAAATGTAACCACTAAAACTACTGCCATATATATCTTTCTCATGTACATATTGCAAACTACTTGAACACTTGGTGATTAAACACACCATGAGTCATGCAGATACTTATGACATAATATATCCCTTACACCGAAGATGATATAATTCAAATGCTGGACTTTTTGATCGACAACATACCTGTTGAGTTTGGTGTATTGGTATTTGAATTGATCATACAGTCGGTTTTCGAATGGGTACTAAATGTGCTCCACTACTGGCCGACTAATTTTTGTACTATGAAGTAGAATTCATACAAAACCTCCAAAAAGAATAAACCCCTTGGAAAGTTCTCTAATTTCACTTTCAGATATATTGATGATAACCTGTAACTTAATAACCCACTATTCAGCGAGTACTTGCATCTCAAACATCCCAGTGAACTTGAAATAATAGATACTACCGAAACTAGAAGTTCATCATTAAAATTTTGATCTTTTCCTCGATATTGACACAGATGGACGACTTCAAACTAGAATCTATGACAAATCTGTTGATTTCAACATTCGTATTGTCAACTTCCAATTTCTAAGCAGTTATATTCCCTCTGTTCCATCGCATGGCATTCACATATCTCAATTGATACGTTACGCTCGTGCATGTTCACACTATATGGGTCTCGCTACCAGGGGTATGTTCCTTACCAAAAAAACCCTCCCACAGAGTTATGAGTAAGGTCGACTGAAATCGACACTACATTAGTTTTACGATTACCATCACAAATTGGTTTACCGATACGATATGTCTGTGTCTCAACTCATTCTTTCGCATTCTTAGATCTTGGGAAGCCAGAACACTCGTCTTACCGATTGTGTTCTATTCCGGATTAGGATATTTTAACTGAGTTTTGACTTGCATATCGGATGATGCATGAATTGTAGGCCTACGAGACGCTTACCATATCGACTCACCCGGCTCCTTCTTGTTGGAGGTCATGCATTTCCCTCAGTTTTTGCTTGTTTATTTTATATGTCTTAATCGATTTGAACATCAGTAAATAGACTAGTCATAGATACCAGGATTCAAATTTTGTACACCAAACGCGCGTTTCGTCTATAAAAGTTGAAAAGGTTAAATAAAGTACGAAGTTGAAAAGCATTAAGGCTCCGAAATTCCAAAAGGTTTTGCCAAATACACCTTAGGTAATCTATTCTCGTGATAGACTACTGTTGCATATAGTTACAGCAAGGATTTCGCAGAGAACGATCTTGCAAAACACAATTTTTGCAATTTGACAGATGAAGTTACACTTATTCTTGAAAATGGTAAACCAACAGAAGCGTTTAGTTAAGTTTCACATTCTCTTCATTTAAACAAACGTCACCATTACAGGGTACAAGGGAAATTAAAATTCTGGATACATATCTTTTTTAACATACTCTATAAAAATAAGTTAAAAATTCAGTTTATGGCGCGCGGAAGTAGACAGTATTACTTTTTTAGGGGTTGACAGGATACACATAACCGTTCGTAGTTTCAACTTCAAGGCTCTTATACAAGCAAATTTAAGAAACGATGATTAAATTCAGGTGGTTTTTTGTTTCCTTTTTACATAGGGCTTCATCTTTGATCTTATTTCTTTGTGCAAAATTCTGAATCTACGTATTTAACCTTTATCGATGTCAGGAGAACCTGTTTCGAACAATTCCATATACCATTATATTTTAGGGGTTTTTAGATTCAGAGTCGAATTAATGTATATTATTACGTGTTGTTTGCGAGATATAAATCATTTTTCTGACAAAGTAACTAAATTCAAAACCATTATATATAGTTAACATTTATATTTTATTTTACTGTGTAAATTGATCCGAATATGAACGACAACATAGTCCTAAAATTGGTATATTCCGTTTAACGCATGACATTTGCGCGGGAAAGTCTTCCTTTGACCTTCCATTGACCATTGCAATTAATTTGTTTCTGGATTGTGTAATTTGTTGTCATCTAATTTGTTCTCCTACTGTCATTGAACAGTATCGACATTTGACGTCTGGTTTGTACACATTTAGACAGTCTCGATCGAGTCAGAACGACAGGAGCCTGCACTGGCTGCAGAGTAGTCCAGTGGTTGTCGTTGGTTCATGTCTGTCATATTTGTTTTTCGTACATTGTTTTGTTATAGATTAGGCCGTTAGTTTTTCTCAGGTGAATTGTTTCATACTTTTCGTGTCGGGGCCTTTTACAGCCGACTATACGGTATTGGTTTTTCTCATTTTTGAAGGCCGTACAGTTGCCTATAATTGTTTATGTAACAGTGGTTTGATTCCACCAGTGTACTTTATCCGAAGGATGAAAATTCCTAGTGTTTTATGTCCACCAACAAAAATGCACTAGATTTTTTAATCCGGGTCTATATTCGCCATAAGATTCTGAAGAGGGTTTTCTTGAAGGGGAAATGCATAAAAAATGGGGCTTGGTATTTTTGGGGGATATTTGAATTAACTAAAACTTGCATAGGTGATTTATATAAAAAAAGGACAAAATTAACTAGTGTTTGTGAACTCAAGAATGTTTACACTAGTGTTTGTTTTTTTTAAACCAGGTATTATTACACTAGTGATTTCACTCCAGGAATGATTACACTAGTGATTTTATGCAGGTAACAATTCTGATAATGCAAACATTCTAAGGCGGGTTTTCTTGAGAAGAAATAACACTAAAAAAAATTGAGGCTCAGCTTTTTTGGGGTATAGTGCTATGGATTAAAATTACTAGTTATTTTCTGGATAAATAAGATAATATGAATTTAAAAATTTAAAAAAAAAAAACATAAGTGAATTGTATTAGCTAGTCAATTGTGAAAAAAACTCAGATTGTTATATACATATGTATGATATTATTATGACCAACAATCGATTCATAACATGCATGATTAAGGTTCATCACAACAAATGGACAAAAATGGCTTAATTTACACCTCAAAAACTACTCGGAGTACGGACTAACCTGTCTAGTTGGAAAAGTTTTAAGGCCTGGCATCCACTAGATATATAAAACTTAAAATGCATTTTGTGTTTCAGAAAGATACAGATAAAAATGGATTTTGATGGGCATTGTTTTCGTTCCTTCAGAAGGTGTAAAAATAAACTAAGTTGGGATACAACTTTGAGATGCTCCCTCTCAGGTAACAACTGTATTGTATTGATTGTCCTTGATTGATACCTTACAATAGATAGACACTAGATATCTACACAACTATAGGTGAGTTAAAGGGTGTAATAGAGTGGACAGTATCAAATGTAATTCAGGTGTTTGTTGGTTTTTACACCACCAGCAGGAGCGAAAAAATGCCCATCAAAATCCAAAAAAAGATTTTATCTTTCTGAAACACAAAATGCATTTTATATATCTAATGGATGCCAGGCCTTAAAACGTTTCCAACTACACATGTTAGTCTTTACTCATAGTAGTTTTTGAGGTGCAAATGCAGCCATTTTTGTCCATTTGTAATGATGAACCTTAAACAAAAAGACTAATATACAATAAATACCATTCAATTCTTCAAATACTATTATTACATGTACCTGTATTTGTTTGTAAACAAGTGTTTAAAAATATTCATATATACTAGACTGCCTGAATTTTTTTAATACCTTTTGGCCTAGTGAGACAGGTTCCAACAGTTCATCCAATTCATAACAAAATTTGCATTTATAGCCAAAAGAGATAATAATTGACCTTCACATTCACGAGGATCCAAAAAGGTGCTTTGTGTTACAAAATGATAGTCGTCATCAACTTTAAGATCACTGTCGTTTCCTGTTTCGGTAGCACTTGTAAGTAATGCAAAACAAACGGTAATTTTGGAGAGGAACATTTGATTATGTATCAATTGATTCATGTTAAAAAGAGACCAATTCTTTGACCAAGCCTTTTCCTGTACTACATTTATGATATCCAACCGGTCTTGCATACCTTATGCGTTTATTTATAGATAACACCATAGTATATTTGGCAATAATCAGATTTTGACGCATTTGACAATTGACAACATGGGAAACTACATGGGAAATGACATCCAATCCTGATAAGTGCAATGAAATTTCAGTCACCAGAAATACAAAGCCAATCTCATTTATTTACACATTTCATTATCACTCTTAAGAAAAACATGTATGAGGGTAACCATCAGCTCTAACCCTAAATGGGGGTGTACATTGTACAAATTAACAATACATGTATGAAACTAATAGTACTCTTGTCTTTCTAAGGAAGGACCTGAAGATATCTCAACATACATTGAAGAACAGGCATATAAGTCCAAAGTAAGACCATCCCTAGAGTCTGCTCAGTATGGGACCCTTACTTTTAACACGACATATAAATCCTTGAAATAGTTCGAAAGGTGGGCTGTGCGTTTTGCAACCAACAAATACAAAAATGCTTAAAAAATAACGAAAAGAACATCTTGAATGCTTTCGAAGCGCTTTTCTGGATTTACTTTCAACAGGAACGATCAAAGCCGAATATTTGAAAGCTATGGATGTATTAGAACCGAGAGGGTTCAAGAGTTATATGACCAAAACGGACATAAAAATAATTGCCAAATCCATCTCGGATCAACTTTGCCTGAGGGAACTGAAACCTTAGTTTTTTTAGAATTTTTGAATATATAAACGGACAATTTCAGAAAGGTTTGTTATACATCCTGTCAGTATCAAAGTACTGACTACTGAGCTGACGATACCTTCGAAGGCTGATAGTCCACAGCAGCAGTACCGATCCAGTGCTGAAAAAACTTAAAACAACTTATAAATTTCATTCGTCCGAAGCGGTTTTCTGGATTTACCTTCATCGGGAACGCTCAAGGTCGAATATTTAAAAACCAAAGGTGTATAAGAGCCGAAACGGTTGAAGAGCTATATGACGAAACAGGACATAAAAAATAATACTAGTAGCCAAAACCACCCCAGGTCAACTTTGCCAGAGGGAGTTGAAACCTTAGTTTCTTTATAGTTTTTAAATTTTTAAACCGACAATTTAAGAAAGGTTTGTTATAAATCCTGTCAGTACCAAAGTACTGATTATTGAGCTGATGATACCTTAGAACTATATGACCAAAAAGGACCAAAAATAATAGCTAAATCCGTCTAAGGTCAACTTTGGTTTCTTTATTATTTTTTTTTATTAATCGTTGGTAACATGTTCATATACGTCATTTTGAATGGCGCAGCATCTCTGACTTATCTCTGGCAAATGAAAACATTGATTTTCATAAGGTGAAGATATAATCTTTCCATCAGTTTAATTGAGGTCTGGAGTTGGCATGTCAGTAACTGCTAGTAGTCCTTTGTTAATTTATGTATCGTTGTCATTTTGCTTAGTTTCTTTTGTTACCTATTCTGACATCGGACTCTGACTTCTTTTAAACTGAGTTTTACTGTGCGTATTGCTGTGTGTTTGTTTATTCTATATTGGCTAGAAGTATAGGGGGAGGGTTGAGATCTCACAAAACATGTTTAACCCCGCCGCATTTTTGCGCCTGTCCCAAGTCAGGAGCCTCTTGCCTTTGTTAGTCTTGTATGGTTTTTTTTTTAATTCTAGTTCATTTATATGTTTTGGAGTTTAGTGTGATGTCCATTTTCATTGAACTAGTACACATTTTTGTTTAGGGGTCAGCTGAAGCCCGCCTTCGGGTGCGGGATTTTCTCGCTGTGCTGAAGACCCATTGTTGGCACTCGGCTGTTTTCTGCTCTTTGGTCGGGTTTTTGTCTCTGACACATTCCCCATTTCCATTCTCAATTTAATTCACGATTAGTCATGTTATACAAAATAGAAAATGAAAAAGTTACAATACACAAGAACAACAAATTAATTCCACAAAAAAGAACAACAAAACATTCAAATCTAACTGTTTCTAACTTCCATTATGCAAAACAAAATACAGAAAAGATTTTCCCCAAAGAACAATAACCGATTAGAACAGACTACCCAAAAACATCATAAGTAGACTTTCTTAAATTTTATATCTAAAAACATATTAATTAAATCTTTTGTACATTTTTTATATTCAATTTTCCTATACTAAAATATATAATTAATCTATGTCTTGCTGTAAGAAACCCTCTTGTTGCATAATCTCCAATCTGCTGATGAACGTTAAGTTACCAACAATCAATTTGCTGAAGTTGGTCTCTAAATAATAGATGTAGTACTTTCGGGTTATATTTCTTTCAACGGCTAACTCGTGTAGAGCGAAATGCCACATTTTCCCGATATTCATTTCAAAATTCCTTCTGCCCCCGACAAATGAATGGTCGCCACCTTATTAATAGTACACCAATTTGTGATATCTAAAGAGAGCATTTGAAGTTAAATGACAAATTTTGCTTTATAACAGGTAATCCATATACAATACATACGGCTGCTGTCTTTGAAGCTGCTGAAATGTAACTACTACAAGTATGCCTTCCTTTATATAAAAGAGGGGCGAAAGATACCAAAGGGATATTCAAACTTATAAGTCGAAAAAAAAACCGCAGATGTCATGACAAAAAACGAATAGACACAACAGTACACTCAACCAGGGGTAATCTCATGTGCGCCGCAAGGGTAAGCAGATCCTGCTCCACTAGTGGCACATATGCACCGTATTGCTCATGCAAGTACGTACCCGGTGCAAAAATCTAACTCCACATGAATATTAATTTTGCATCCCATATAGTCGCATCCTTTCTCATGAAAGGACTTTCTATTTAACGAAAGAAATCCATGTAACCATAATACGAAACCTCTCCTTATCTCTGGACTAAAATTTACCGAAGTGCAAAAATATTCATGTTTATGCTACATAACATTTTATGAACTGGGATAAAAAACAAAAATGTTTTAAAGATCTAATATTTTTTTCAAACCCTAACTGCTGCGCATGGAAAAAGGTATACGGCTATGGTTATTGACGAGAAGCTTTTTCTCAGGGTGATTTTTGGAGTCAACAGCGTTAGATAGAATTCAGTAGTTCTTACATTCGCCTTTTCACCTTCCTGACAAAAGTGACAATAGACAGTCAAGATAAACAAATATTTCAAAATCTGAAATCTCTTAAAAATATTTTTAATCTGGAGTATTTACTGCAAATAGAAGTATTTGTTCTGATTATTTACCCATACATTTTCGTATGACTACAGTAATGACGGAGACTTCATCAGCTTATTAAAGAATATCATTATTATGTAGTATGACTTGTAACAAACTGTGCCAATAGTCTATCTGTCCAGGAATCATTTTCTTTTGCAACTCTGCGCTCCCTCAGTAACATTCTGTCGAAAAATGAGAATAAATTTGTTAATGTGCTATTTCATATATAAGAAAAGAAAGACAATATATACTCATTTTCATTTTAGTAATTTTGGCATTGTACAAAGAGTCGTTCATGCTTGCTTGACAAATATCATAAACTGTGAAAACAACATTTTATTCAAAACGATTAAAATGTGAATAACGACATCTACAATTAAGGTTCATTAAAATATCAAACTCATAAAAGATACCAGGCATATAATTCAGTACGCCAGACACAAGTTCATTGGACCTCCGTCATGATTCTTTATATTATTCATCATACTTCCGACCGAATCAGACATGGATTATCGCTCCGCGGGAGTCCCGATTGATCTTGAGCTGCGTTTCCATTCCTTTTAAATATACAGTTCCTTGGTTTGATACGGCCGTGGGTCAAACCCGTGATATCTGCATTCATCCACCAAAGTGGTTGAACAATTAAGATATCCTTGTCTCCATTAACGGTTTTTGGCATTTTTACCTATTATGTCTGTTTGTTTTGTCCACACATTGTTGTCGGTGTTATGGAATTTTATGCGACTGTCATACAAGTGAGAGGCTTTTGGCCATACAGCCAGGTTCAATCCACCATTTTCTACATAGAGAGGTGCCTGTGCCTGGTCAGGAGTATGACGGTTGTTTTTCCTTTAGTTTGGTGTGTTTGAGCTTTTGATTTTGTCATTTGATAAGGGATTTTCCGATTTGAATTTTCTTTGGAGTTCGGTATTTTTGTTATTTTACTTTTCACCTTACCTGCCTAATCTATTGTGTTCCTGTTTCGGAGACCTTAATGTGGAGTGGATCAATAATTGATAGAAAACATCTCTCTACAATATTTATATCAGTGTTAGTACAGTTCGTGATATAACTAATATAATACTAGTAATAGTTATAACTATAATACCTTCTAATTAGAAAACATACTTTAAACATATAATTTAACGAACGGAGAAGGCCTCACCAACACAGCTAGGTACTACAGATAAGAACTCGTAATAATTGTTAAGAGTCTACTTTAAGGGTTAATTCTTGAATGTAGGATATATATGTAATTTTTTCACTTTCTAAGTTAAGACAATTTTTTATATGCATGTATCATTGTCTGGTTTTAACACGAACCCTTGTTGAAACGAAACAGAATCTCTGGTTTCTTGATGGTAGATTTCAACAAAATAATTTAACGAAACCATATTAATTTATAAATGTTATCATAGACAATTATCTAGTGGTATTGGTCTTTTTGTTTGTTTCTCATATTTATTGTTAAATATCCAAATTTCTTTGATTAGGATTCATCCAACTTCTTTTAAATCGTTCCACTTTTTATTTTCATAATTGGTATAGAAGGATTCTATGAAGACATCGAAGTCTGTTTGAAAATTTACACCACATTATCTTTCAGACCTAGTAAGGTAAATCAAGAGTCATATTTGTTATGTTTCGTTTTGATTTTATAAATAAAGTTTAGTAAATAATTGATAAACAAGTATTCTTCGTCTTGATAATTAACTACTTTACTTGGATGTTACTATAAGAACATCAATAATCAACATTTCTATAAACGCAATAGACGGTACTCAAAAATATATTTAGGATTTTTGTAGATGTAGCCCAGACAATGTTTGATGTATATTATCATATAAGAAATGTGATATCAACCTGTGCATCACTTCCGCCAATCTTTATTATTTCATATCGGATAGGGTAAAGTAAATCAACAGCTTTACTGTAATCGCCATCTTCAAAGGCTAAGATACCCTCACACAGAGGTATTCCTACTTCTGCTACAATCGTCTTACTGTCCCAGTCTTCTGGATCATTCCTATATCATAAAAATCATGGTAGTTTTACATATATTGTATGAACTTAACTTTTAGTAAACAACTTAACCATAGCTTACAAATGCTATGCATTTTAACAGGTAATCACTGCAAATATTCATTTATTTTTTTTCTATTTCAGTCAGATGAAGTGAGAAGACATTAAGAGTGTCTGTGGAAATGGAAAAAAAAAGATTTTTTTTTAAATATCATTGTTACTAGTACATTTACGTTCTAACGATATCTATGAATAACATTTTCTCATGAAATTCAATTTGGATCATGGTCTTTATATTGAAATTGTCTTAATTCTTTTACCTTTTTTCTTTATTCTAATTTGCTTATAATGCTTACTTTCCGTACTGCTTCAGAGACTCAAGGAGTTTGTATCTTTTACTTTTATCCTGATTATGACAACATGAAAGAAGGAGGTTTGCCTCTGTGAACATTCGTCCATGTGCATACATATAAACATCACAAGTTTCGTCTAATACTGACCAACGATTACCAACATCTACACCTACAAGTAGTTGAAAGAAGCTATCAGTTTCGGTTACTTTTTATAATAATTCAAACTATTCATGTCCATATTTGTTTCAGTTCGCATAAAGTTCGCGCCAATTGATGTTTAACAAGAAACAATTTATCAATCCAATATTTATTAAAATGAGATAATTTATAATCGATCAAACTTAAAAGATTGCTTATTAAAGCTTATATTTCATCAAACCAGTCACACCATTGTAGTATTTAAATTTCATTTTTATTAAAAAATTAAGAAAATGTCATTATATTTTGCATACCTTCCAGTTTCAATCTATACAGTAATCCAGTCGCATCAGTCAGGTTGAAATCGCTTTTAGACTTTTTTGTTCTTGGTCCAATCTAAATATTTGAAAAATATAATTCAGTTATCATTTCTTGGTTGCAATTGACTATATTAGAGTATTAATTCGTAAAAAAATACTTCAAACTTTCGCGCTGTTTCTAGATTTACCTTCATCAGGAACACTAAAACAGTTGAAAGCAAGGGATGTATTAAGAGTACTTAGAAACTCAAGTATCAAAATATAATATACATGCTCTAAAAGTGTGACATTGAAGCAAATTAAAGTACATTGACGTATTGTTTAAATATTATACTTATGATTTCATTTCATAAATGAAGAATGTAATGTATTAACTTACCTGAGTATCAAATATCCCAAGAGCTTCACTGAAATCACCCTAATTATAAAGAAATATATAAATAATGGTAATTTTTTGTTAAAAAATGCGGATTTCCATATAATAATAAATAACAAATAAAAATCATTGAGGGTTTTGTAGTTTCCCCCAAATCATAAGAAATGATATTTAGTAATAATATATTTAAAGACATCGTAGCGTTCGATACGTAGCCTGGGATCATTACCTTATCTCTGCTGCGCTGTCGAGCAGTTAGCCAAGATCCCAGACTAGTTAACTACTTTTCACTTTTAATTACAAATTGTTTAAAATTTGGTACACCAAACGCACCTTTCGTCTACATAAGACTACAGTGGACTTCCAATCAAAATAGTTGGAAGACCAAATCTATAAAGAAGTCAGCGAAGTTTGAACATGTGCAAGTTATATATGTAGACGAAACGCGCGCCTAACGTACAAAATATTAGTCCTGGTATCTATGAAGAGTTTATGTATAAACCTTTTTCAATACAAAACTTTTATTTATCCGTATTAAGATATTAAAATGTGAACATGATATCGGTCTTCAACTGAGTGACAGTGACAATGATAATTGTTTGAAAGGAGTTTTTCTCAAAAACTGTCCAGTATATTGGGATATTGAATTTTGAGTCTTCAATTAAGTATACTTGTTATTTGTTATTTACTAGTATATTATAAATCTATTGTATTCAATATATAACTTACTCTCATAATGACTTGGGGAAACATTTATAATTTCAAAAAAGAGGCGAAAGATACCAAAGAGACATTCAAACTCATAAGTCGAAAATAAACTGACAACACCATGGCAAAAAAGAAAAAAAACAAACAATAAACAAAACATAATAAACTAAATACTGAGTAACACGAACCCCACCAAACACCGGGGTAGATTTCGGGTGCTCCTGTAGGGTAAGCAGATCCTGTTCCGCATGTGACACCCGTTGTGTTGTTCATGTAAGTCTAATTCGGTAGGTCACATTCGGGGGGAAAGAGGACGGGACTGTGGCTCGACGAATGGAACATATCCGTCGTCATCTGGGAAACAATTATTCCATATCGGTCAACCAACTCGTAATGGCGTCCGTAAAAGTTTCGAAGGGATGATTTCAACTTCAAAACTTGAAACTCTCGTTTAAATAGCTTCCTTGTGAGCAGCAACCCTTTATCAAGGAAATCATGATAGGGAACGCAAACCTATATATATATTCCATATGCAGGCGCTGCTGGAATGTTGCTTCATAGAAATGGAAAGTTTACAATTGGGATGCTGAAATCATCTAATGATATTCATAATAAACATCAAAATTTAAAATAAGAGGCAACATTAATTTACCGATGTTTAAATCTGACAAATCCGCTTATAAGATACAAATCAAGCAAAAGAAAAACTGATGGATTCGCATGAACGACTAAAGGAGCTAGGCTGGGTGCGTCGACAATGTAAGCGTCTCATGATATGCAAAAATCGACCACCATAACAATCAGCAGTCAAAATGTCACAATCGGTAAATTTACAGATCAGATGGATTTTCTGTTAATTAAATAAAGATCAGTGACCGCGAAACGTATGGAATCTATATCATAAATTCCATTTTATCCGCAAGACTTTAAAATTAATCAAAATTATAGCATGTACTCTACACCGAACAGTAAGATATCACAAATCCAGAAAGGAAAATGAAAGTAATGACTGCAAAATTTTAAATATTGACAAAAATACTTAAACAGCGGTAAAGTTTATAAAAAAAATTGTTATTTGGACAAATTTTCTACAAGGATATGTATGAACCCTCAAGTTTGACATTCATTTATCTCAATGGAAGTGTTTCAAAACTTTCTTTGAGTAGTAAATATTAAATTACTCAAAAATGTCCATTTGTAATAAAAGAAGAGTTCCAATGCCCCCGCGTTGCATGTATTTTATCTGTCCAAGAGCAATTACTAAAAGAAAACAGTTTTCCCCCTTTATAATTTTTATAGATATCTGAGAGAAATGAAGGATTGAGAGTAAAAAGTAAAATAACAGAAATACAGAACTCCTAGGAAAATTCTAATCGGAAAGTCCCTTATCAAATGGCAAAATCCAAAGCTCAAACACATCAAACGAATGGAAAACAACTGTCATATTCCTGACTTGGTACAATGCAATTTCCGATATACTTAATACTTCCAAGGGGCATAAGTCTTTAAAAAATATTTGATTGGCACTGATTTTCTTCTGTGTCCAAGAAATTGCTGATATAAAGCTTTGATAAAAATTTTATAAAAATCTGGCAAGAATTGTACACGTGACAGCGGTAACAAGACCGGACGGACAGACGCACGGATGGATTTGGGGACGGACAGACGGACGGACGGACGCGGTCGGTTTTTCTATGTCCCCTGCAACACGACGTGCGGGGGACATATATAACATCGTAGTGGGTCTCTTAAACCGCAATCTCGTATAATCTGACCATGAAATGTAAAACATCATTACGATTACTAAGGAATTTGTCAAAATTTTACTGAAATGAAAGCAAGTAAAAATCACAAATTGCAGAAGCGCTTCTTTCTAAAAAGTGATCGTCACTTGTCAGTAATTTTTAGGCAGTTGTGTTGTATATCTGTGATGTATGTTTACACAGTTTTGGCTGCTGGATCCCAATTATTGTCACATTAACCTATTACGTCTGTTTGGGATGCTAACCCAATTTTGTCAATATTTTAACGGAGCTAAAAAACAACTGTCATACAAGTGGGATGTTTAGCTAGCTATAAAACCAGGTTTAACCCACCATTTTCTTCGGCAAAAACCTATATCAAGTCAGGAATATGGCAGTTGTTTTTCATTTGTTCAGTTGATTGATAGCGTTTGATTTGTCAGTTTTTATGGACTTCCCTTTTTTAAATTTGCCTTGGCGTTTTGTATTTTTGTTATACTTTTTTGCTTTCATTTAGAATACATTTCAAAAAGCAGCAATTCTTATATTTACAGAGCATCGAATTAATATATGTATGCTATAAGCATTTTAATCTAACAGAAAAAACTTCGACAGAAAGTGTGTACCGATTTGAAAGCAGTATCATATCGCGAGAAATAAATTGTACGTCATATAGGTGAAATTAGCTTAACGAGGATGCCGATTTCAAAGCATACAGCTTATAAAATATTTATCATATATAAATTATTATATATCATTATTTCTTATTGTCACTTTTTGCGGGTAATTGAAGCTAGTGCCTACAATATATGCTGTCAACTGTTTTTTTTTAAATCAAACATTAAACGTTTGCCGCAAGTAAACTAACAATGTGCAATAAAAGTGATTGATTGATTGTTGGTGTTTAACGCCACATTAATCACTACTGCCTTTATCGTTGTGTCCTGCTTTTATTGTTGGAGGAAGCCGGAGTGCCTAGCGAGACCCATCGACCATCGGTGGGAAAACTGGCAATCATAGTCATATAAAAATGGAGTCAAACGCATCTGTCACGTGCGGGGCTCGAACTCAGTGTAAACAGGCTAGTGATACAGTAGATGAACTACTTAAACCACTCGGCCGAGCCCCCTGAACAATTAATGTTGATTACTAACGTGGGTGGAACTCATAATTCTATCTTTGAGTTGCTTCTACATAAGTTGGTAACATAGGATGAAATGAGGTGATTCGTCTTACAGCCAATAAAATATCAGTATCTGTATGAATTGAGCACCTACTATAAATATTTCATACTTAGTTTGCAAAAGTTGTTAAATATTTAATACTTCTAAGTCTCATAGTTGATACAAGCACGCAGTATAATATATTTATAGCTGCAGGTGATAGGTACTATCATGTAATGAAAATCATAAAGGCTTTTGAAAGTAATATAAGACGCTAGGTAACAGTCGCATAACCTAAATAAACCATGGAGAAATAAAACTGATTTTTTAAATAGCATGGCAAGTATTTAAACCATAAATTAGACAGGTAGGTAATCATAGACAAATTAAGGAAAAAGTTGTTTACCGATGTTCAAGTCTCATAAATCGATTAAGAAGAGACATAACATAATAATAATCAAAACCTGAAGGAATCGCATGAACTCCAAAAGCAGCGAGAACGGTTAATTGTGTCGACAGGATAAACGTAACCTGCTATGGCATAATGCATGCATCAACCGCCATGCGAATCCACATTCAGTCAAAATGTAAAAATTGGGAACAGGGCACATACTGTTAAATGACAGATCATTGATACGACAAAACCGGTATCTAAAGATATAAGACTGCAAAACATATTGCTAGTATCCAAGCAGTCAAATAATTCTTGATGGTGCCGTAAAACTTATGTAGTGTCGATTTCAGTCGTTTGTCCTCATAACAAACAGGTTTAAGAGTAAGGATCAAGACAAACGAAAATTCTATAACTGTTGATTCTTGATACAAAATCACCATTTTGAAAGTGATTAATATGAATATAAACAGTATGAACAATACAGAATAAACTTCTGATCAACGATATAAATTCAAATATTTACCTTTTCTGCGTATGCTAAACTGAGATGCCAGTAGTTATGGCAGGCCAAATAACATGCACGCTATAAATATAAAAAAAATATGGACTACTATAGGTTTTAAAGGACACGGTCTTGTAGATATTTTCATTGAAGGTTAAAAACGGTGCTTGCATCTTTTCTATTCCCTCTCCTCTGTTTATGCTGAGACTTCTATATCATATATATGTGTCATTGTATATACGTAGTCTCAGGTTTACGTCAAGAGAAAAAAAAATTTCAGCACTGTTTGCATTTTAAACTTATATACTTTATACATTTTGTAATTTACTCCACATGTAGAAATGAATAAATTGTTGAACAGCATTTATTTTACATATATATCGTTGTTATGGATGCAATGAGATGTACACACCAATTACAACAGATTGAACAAAAAGTCATATATTGCATACACTGATGTGCTTTTATAGTTTATTCTAATGTCTATAGAAACAAAATATTACAAAAGCCAATTGAAAATAAAAACTTTTTTATTGTTTCCCAAACTAAACAAACTGACAGACAATTTTTCTAATCGAAATCATATTTGTTTTCATTTTGGTGTTTGATAACACATAATAAGGATACCAGTAATAACCAAAGATATTTGACAGTACAACAGATCACACAAACTACCAACATCCTACTCGTAATTGATGTACATATACAAACAAAGGTAAACATCCACCACCAACATCCTACTCGTAATTGATGTACATATACAAACAAAGGGAAACACCCACCACCAACATCCTACTCGTAATTGATGTACATATACAAACAAAGGGAAACACCCACCACCAACATCCTACTCGTAATTGATGTACATATACTAACAAAGGTAAACACCCACCACCAAAATCCTACTCGTAATTGATGTACATATACTAACAAAGGGAAACACCCACCACCAACATCCTACTCGTAATTGATGTACATATACAAACAAAGGTAAACACCCACCACCAACATCCTACTCGTAATTGATGTACATATACTAACAAAGGTAAACACCCACCACCAACATCCTACTCGTAACGGATGTACATAAACAAACAAAGGTAAACTCCCACCTCCAACATCCTACTCGTAATTGATGTACATATACTAACAAAGGTAAACACCCACCACCAACATCCTACTCGTAATTGATGTACATAAACAAACAAAGGTAAACACCCACCACCAACATCCTACTCGTAATTGATGTACATATACTAACAAAGGGAAACACCCACCACCAACATCCTACTCGTAATTGATGTACATATACAAACAAAGGGAAACACCCACCACCAACATCCTACTCGTAATTGATGTACATATACAAACAAAGGGAAACACCCACCACCAACATCCTACTCGTTATTGATGTACATATACAAACAAAGGGAAACACCCACCACTAACATCCTACTCGTAATTGATGTACATATACAAACAAAGGGAAACACCCACCACCAACATCCTACTCGTTATTGATGTACATATACAAACAAAGGGAAACACCCACCACCAACATCCTACTCGTAATTGATGTACATATACAAACAAAGGGAAACACCCACCACCAACATCCTACTCGTAATTGGTGTACATATACAAACAAAGGGAAACACCCACCACCAACATCCTACTCGTAATTGATGTACATATACAAACAAAGGGAAACACCCACCACCAACATCCTACTCGTAATTGATGTACATATACTAACAAAGGTAAACACCAACGAACAACAATGGTCTAGATAGCTTGACTTGAAACAAGCACAAACTGTTTTGGAGTTAAACTACTTTTACGTGTGCCCACATCTATCCCCTTTGCCCATCTAGATCAATTGTCGTAAAGTAAAGCTCACAGTGTAGCTATCAACAAGATAACCACTAACTTGAACATGGAAATACAAGACGCTTAATTTTGAGCGCTTCTATAGAAAGGTGGATAAGGTAGCCACAGCTGTTACGGAATACATTCAAGAAACAAAAAGATCTGTCATCAGACATTTTACTTATCACGAAATCTCATCATAAAATTTAATTGAAATCAATAGTATTTGTGAGAGTCCAGTAAGTATTTAAAAACCCCAGGATGTAGAAGATGCGAATTTCGACAATTAATGTATCTTCGGAGATGATCCAGGGCAAAATATTGGAAATTCCAAATCTAAAAACAAACCTTGAAAAGCTGACAAAACCGAAAAGGACCAAAGAAATAGTCAAAACTCTTACAAGGAATCAGAGCTTTGCATTATGGAGATATATTCCTTAATTTAAAATGATTAACAGAATTTAATAACAGAACATTTCAATAAAGAATATCAGTAAACTCATCATTTACAGACAAAGTGCCGTAAACAACTGTAATTTGGTTTGTAAATTCAAAAACTTTTTAACATTCAGACAGGAGAAAATTGTTTTACCTGAACATGCAAATATGTGTGGAAGTATACATATTATTCTCAATTTCATATTATATTTTCAAGAAATAATAGCTTACGCTCCAATCATTTTCTGTTGACAGGATGAACTCTATACCTTTCTCATGTTGACCTTGCATCAGATAGACATGTGACAGTGCATGCGTGGCGTAAGTTTCGTGTCGTTCTATTTCAAGACACTAAAATGACCAAAAAAGTTTCGATAATTGCATTAATTTTGTAATACAATTCAGCATGTTTATGTATCCAATGCTCTAATGTAACTTTCATCCTAATTAATATACGTTAATATGTATGATATGGGTTGCTTTCATATTAGATAAATAAAATACCAAAAATAAGTCCTGTGTCTCTATCTTTACTGGAGAACTTCAAAATTTTCATACCAACTCGTAATTATGAAAAGATTAAAGAGAGCTGAACACAAACAACAGTAAGGGACTATATTCCGTCTCATTCTACATGAAAAAGTATCTTTCTTTTCTAATTTTTCTTTTGACTGAAAAGGGGAATATACAAAATTGTTTTTACCCGCTTTGCTGTTTTCTCGGCAAGATCATAGAAGTTGTTTTCTTCCAAACAAAATGCTTGCCAGCTCAGGATGATGCTAAAATACAAACATAGGGAATTAAAATGTAGAAAATAATTAGGCAATTTACTGACTTTCAACTGATTAGATGTATGTTTCAATGTGTGTATTAATGATTTTACTATATTTAGCATTGGCTTTGTTTTGGCATTTTTTTACCTCTTCGGTGTGTTCGGTTAGAACAATTAACTAAAGGTTATCGTTTTACAAACAAATAAACGAAAGGAAAGACATACGGCCCTACACTGGTATACATGCTATCTAAAAATTTCCTGTCCAATTTTGAATCTGTAATAGTATTATGTTAAAGTATTCAAAGATATTTTAAGTTTGTTTGTTGAAAACTGACCACCTTTATCCTTTACGACTAGACTGCATATAATGCAGATATTAGTAAGTTAAAATTGTCACAATAGTATCGAAGTTTTTGTTCCAATAAACGGTTTTTTCAAAACGAAAAACAATTGTTAGAGCAACCAACGAAACAATTAATGTTTTAGTGTCATTTGAACTCCAATGAAACTGTAAACCCGGTCTTTGAACAAGTCATAATAAGGAATCGAACAAGACGGTGTAAATTCGGAAATGGCGACTTAAAATAAAACTGTTTTACCTATAACCAGGTGTGTCTTTTTTGTAACTGGGAAGTACTCTCGTAGTTATGTCCTTGTTTTCTTTAGGCATTCCCAGGTTAATCATCGCAAGGAAAGCTTGTCTAGATGCCAGCAGATCCGTTGGATAGTCAACCAGAATATCCTCCCACAGTTTAACAGCAGCATAATGTTTTCTTGGGAACAAGTATAAAATCGTGTTTAATAACATGCATCATTCATAAGCGCTTGTGATTAACGGTAACAATTTCAATGCACCAGATGCGCATTTCAACAATTAATGTCTCTTCGGTGATTCTTGAGGCCAATATATTTGAAAATCCAAAACCTAATACTAACGTTGAAGAAATGATAAAACCACAAAAAAGGATCGAAAGTATAAACAAACCCGGGTATGGAATCAGAACTATGCATGGGGAGATACATTCCTTAATTTAAAATGATTTCCAAAATTCTATAACAGCAAATAATCAAACATTATCCGTATTTTCATGCCAGTACCGAAGTACTGGCTACTGGTCTGGTGATACCCTATGGGCCTAATAGTCTAGCAGCAGAGGTAGCAACCCAGTGGTAGTACATGTAATAACATTAACGGTATGCCAATTTCACGACACCAGATTCGCATTTCGACAAAAGTATTGTCTCTTCATTAACTCGACGCCTAAATAATGGAATATTCAAACCTAATATAAACGAATAAAATAGCTGATAAAATAAAATAAAAACTACAAAAGTATAACCAGACCCGGGAAAGGATTAGAGTTATGCATGAAACAGATACATTCCTTAATTTAAAATGATTTCCAAATTTTATAACAGCAAATTTAGATAAAATACTACCTCTTTTTGCGTGCAGGTGTCCAAGTACTGGCCAACTTGCTGATGATACCCTTGGGGACTTATAGTCCCCCAGACAGAGGTATCGGACCAATGATAGTAATAACATTAACGGTACCAATGTCATTGCACCGGATGCGCATTTTGATTATTAATTTCTCTCCAGTGATGCTTGAGGCCAAAATAATTAAACATTCAATACCAAATAGGTACGTTGAAAGACCGAGAATGGATCAAAATTATAGCCAAAAGCAGATTTTCACATACCTATTATATATTAATATAAATATTTGTATGATTGCTTATATAATTATTTCAACAATGCATCGCAATAAATATTCGATTTCCGTCAACTTCATTGTTTATGTGTAATGCGTTGTACGTCTGAAAGAAGCATAATAAAGAAAACTCAAGGAGAAACGTGAATAGATCCCAAAATACTGGAAATATTCCTAGTTGGAAAAATAAAACAGAATAGATCAAGGAAACACTTCTCGGAGCTCCAGATATCATCCCTGTTTTTGGTGGGGTTCGTGTTGCTCGGTATATAGTTTTCTATGTGGTGTTGTGTAGATGTGATTGTCTTTTCGACGTTTTTCGTTTCTGCCATAATTTTGTAGGTCTCTTTTCAACTTATGAGCTTTGATATCTTCCGCCTCTTTTTTTCTCCGAGTGGGCTAGACGAAGCTTTTTTTTCCTCATTCAAACAACGAAACAAGATAGTCATTTTCCTCACTCAGTGAACGAAAAATGTGCGGATCTGACACAAGTATAGATAAATTGACTAATACCACAACTATTCAGCCGGTACATAAACTGCAAACGAATGAAGTCTTCATCCACGAAACGGTAGATTGATAAATAGTTTAATGGGTTGTTGGATGCTTAACTTCATGCGGCAAATAGATCCTATGTGTATTATAAACAAGAAAAAGGTAGCGATGTGATAATGCAGGATCATTAACAATCTTGATTTATACTGGAAAAAGATTAAAGGTTTTAGAACTTTGTCAATTAAAATTTAAAACAAGAGGCTGTCAGAGTGACAGCAAACCGGATTGTCCTGCAGAGTTCGAACCATGAACAGTTGAGCAAGTATGGACAAAACATTTAAGCTTAAAACAGCTCTGAATTTGGATTGTGATTGAATATTTGACACAGCATAGGTTTGTGACACAAAATGAATGTGGTCAAAGAACGGAAAAATTTGAAATCAGACATTTACCTATTATGAACCAATATCTAAAATCTAAGTACATTGTTAGAATCAGCATATCAAAGAACCCCAAGAATTAAATTTTTGATGAAATCAAACAAAAGTTTAATTTAGGACCCTTTAGACCTCAATGTGGTATTATCTAATTAATAATGAAAATAAATACAGGTTTAGAGTCAGCATTTCAAAGAACCTTATATATATTCAATTTATGTTGAAATCAAACATAGTTTTATTTTGGACCCCGATTTGGACCAACTTGAAAACTGGGCCTAAAATCAGAAATCTAAATATATGTTTATTAATATACAATATAAGCTTAGTTTTTAAAGGAGTTCGCTTCATCAAACAAAAATAATAGCATTCAGAAAATTAGTTTATACAGAATAACAAACAATCCTACCACAAAATTCTTCAAACAATTTACCAAAGAAAAGAAGAAGAAAAATCCAAAATTATGTCATTTATCATTAATACATTGTCTTTTAAAAATCTATAAAACTTATCTGTAATTATCTTCAAAATGTCTAATAATGAACAGTACATACTATACTTATACTGTCCTACAGAGCTTATAACAATCAGCACTTAGGAAACAGAAAATTTTCAAATAAACCTGTCACTGCAATTATAATTGTGTGATGGATATTTACCACATGCTAAAGTTATCTGATAACAGGTGAAAATTATTTAAAAACACTTAGTGTAATCAAACTTTATATATATAATTAATAGTTCCCAATATGTTTTCTTTCATTTGTCACAAACTAATATAGATCTGCAAATTATCTATCAATGCAACAACTTTATCTCCACAATGTAATGTAATGAAATATATCCTTTAATAAAAATACATTATTATCTAATTAAAATGATATTTGCCATTTCTGTTCAAAGGGAAATAACTCAATCATATAATAAGTATAACTTTTGGCTACTAAAAGGTCTACAACTCAACAACGAGAATAGCTAAAATCGTGAAATTGAACTTGACCTTCATTTAGTCACAGGAAACAGCGTATCAAAATTTGAAAAAAAATCATCAAAGCGGTTTCATGTTAATGAACGAACGCTGTTTGCAGTCGCCCGCCGTACATCCCCAAATCAATAACCGATTTTTCCTTCTAAAATCCGGTTAAAAATGTATACGCTTTATTACAAATTGTACACTGCATTTTAAAAGCTGGTAAATGGACAATAATAATAATGTATACGTGTTTGGTAATCAACAACAACAAAACAAAATAAACTGCTTCGCTGAGCGCAGCTGGATACGCCCGCAGAGGTCCAACCCTGAACAGTTGGGGCAAAAATTGACACAATATTCAAGCTTGATACAGGTCTGAATTTGGATTGTATTAAATTATTTGACATATTATAGGTTTCTGAATAAATGTAGTCAAAGAACTTGAAATTGGTTATATGAATTGAATTTATATTCAATTAAAGATTTCTTGCTGTTGCGCAATACTTAGTAAATCTGTTGTCAGACTATAAAAAATTAAAGTTCAATTAATTCTCAATGTCATATTAGAAATTTATGAAAATGTAAAGGGAGCTTACATCAATAGATATAAACAATTCACCAAAGTTTCATGAGAATTGCTGAAAGCATTTTTGAGTTATTGTCCAAAAACTGGAAAATCCCCCCTTTTTTAATGAATAAAACCCCATAACTCAGAAATGTAAAATGTAAAATTTATAAAATTCTAAACGGAGCTTACATCAATAGATATAAACAATTCACCAAAGTTTCATAAGAACTGCTGAAAGCATTTTTGGTTTTTTGTCCGAAAACTGGAAAATCCCCCTTTTTTTATGAATAAAACCCTGTAACTCAGAAACGTAAAATCTAAAATATATAAAAATCAAAAGGGAGTTCATGTCAATAGATATAAACAATTCACCACAATTTCTTGCAAGTTGGTGAAAGCATTCTGGAGTTATTGTCTGAAAACTGGAAAATCCCCCTTTTTTTAATGAATAAAACCCCATGACTCGGAAACGTAAAATCTAAAATTTATAAAAAACGAAAGGGAGCTCACGTCAATAGATATAAACAATTCACCAAAAATTTATGCAAATTGGTTAAAGCGTTTTTGAGTTAATGTCCGACATGTTGACGACGGACGGACAGACGGACGGACGGACGGACGGACTGACGGACAGACGGACGGACGGACGGACGGACAGACGGACGGACGGACAGACGGACAGACGGACAACGGTATACCATAATACGTCCCGTAAACGGGCGTATAAAAACCCAATAAAAAACGACGGTTCATTACTAGTAGTTGACAATATATAGAAAATATATTTAAAATAAACCTGATGGTTACAGTTGTGCAACAACAAAAATAAAAAGAATATGAAAAAAAAAATGAAAACAGCACGTTATAAATTTCATGCGTCCGAATCGCTTTTCTGGATTTACCTTCATCAGTAAAGCCCAAAGCCGAATATTTGAAAGCCAATGATGTATAAGAACTGAAACAGTTGAAGAGCTATATATGATCAAAAAGGACCTACAAAAATAGCCAAATCCATCTAAGGTCAACTTTGCCTGAGGGAGTTGAAACCTTAGTTTCTTTATAATTTCAAAGTTTATAAACGGACAATTTTAGAAAGGGTTGTTATGAATAATGTCAGAACCGAAGTACCAACTACTGAGCTGATGATACCCTCGGGGACTGATAGTCCACCAGCAGAGGTTTCGACCCAATGCTGTAAAAAATGAAACTGACACATTATTTTACCTTTCGTTTACTTACCCTTGAGCCTGCACATTTAAAGCATTTACGTGCTTTCTCTCTCTGTCTGTTATTTGTGATTCCTGTACCAATGCATTGAGTGTGTCCATTTTTGTTTTCAGGTCTGTATTCAGGTGTAAAGGTTTTTCTGGTCCTCCCAAACAAAGATTGTTTGCAAACACGTGGCCCATTACTAATTTCAAAAGTAAATATATGTACTATCTGTAACCAATTTAATTCTTATTTAAAAGTTTACTGTTCTTAATCATTTTTCTTTTTTTTTTTTTAGGTTTTTGATTGTTTTTCTTCTTTAGTTTTCAGGATGTTTTAAATCTGTTGCTATGCAAGCTGGCTTTGAAAAGTGCATCATTTAACAATCTGACTTGGATTTTTTTTCCCTATCAGTGTCTTTCGACATTTAAAAAAAATCCAATTTATAATTGATATAATTGATATACCCTACGATATCAAGTCGTCGTTTTGATACCATTTATGGTCTGCAATTTTTATTTTATTTCTCCCTTTTCAACTCTGTGTCTTCAGTTGCTCTTCCGTGATGACACAATATACGTATGACAAGCAGACAAGGCATTATACTTGTCACTATATAATGTTCTCGAGTTAAAGCAGCTTACCAAATTTTGGATCTGCCTCTAGCATTTTCTTCGTACTCTCTTCCAAGCCTCCCACGGATGGTTCATCATACATACCACTTGCCTGTGGACAATTTAATACATTGTACTCTATGTATATCTATACATATCATATACATGATGCGTGTTTACCAATTCACCCGGGACCATTCAATGTAAAATTCTGCAAATACTTACCACAAACTCATTTTTCAAGTATATGTAATCGTTCATAAAAGATATTGAAAAATATTTTTACTGTAAATAAAATCATACAATAAATCAAAGAAAAAATTGATAAAATTCCAAATAAATTTAGAATATCCATGTCTTTCTGTTGAGAGAAAGTATCAGAACAAACTTAAAGGAAAATTAAATATTAAATTTGAACTGACTATGCATAAAATTTAGAACGTCATTTTTAACACTAAAATGTAAAAAAAACCCGACCATGTTGAAACATTTAAAACAAAATATGAATTATACCCTATGTTTTCGTGTTCTTTTTACTTAATAAAAAGCAAAAAAACAATGGAAAAAAAACAACTAACTATGGATAACAACTGACGATGACGCATTAGGCTTATACGGTCGAACGCTTATTGATGACAATAGTTCAAATAAGTCCTTATGGTCAGTGACAAAAAATCTCTAATTTAAGACATGTATTGTTTAAACATCCCCTAATTTTTCATGCATTTTTATCTACTTAATTGGGACTAAGTTCACGACTCAGTTTCTATTCCAAAATGTTAATTACTGACCAAATTCCACCTAAAACTAGTCAGTTTTGTAAATATTCTTAATGTAGTATAGGTGTTAGTGCATCGACAGTCTTGCTAAAGTTATAGATCAAGCAAATATTTTCATCGAACTTCAGTTATACTATGCAAATGCGTCTCGTCGCCTTTACTTGAAAAATGAAAAATGCCAATGTTTTGAGGCATTTTTACAAAACATAATTATGTAAGTTGTTAATTTTTCACTTTCAGGAGCGTTTTATTACGAAAATCGGTCTTATATCAAAAACATGATGAGTTCTACGAACTATGGGGTGTTTCAAGACCTTGACTACTCATGAGGGTCCCGCACGGTCGGTTATACCATGGACGTATTATATTATCAATGGTTATACTCACCGTGTAATCATTTTGTCATTAAGGTAAAAACGAAATGTGTTTGCATTGATGTATACATTTTTTTGATGGATGCGAGAATATAACGTGAGGGTACCCAAATTGCACCTATTTTGACAGTTTTTTCACCTACTTTTATTTATGACCCGGACAAAAGTTTCCATTCCGTGTTTATTTTGTAGATGTATCCTTAATTGCTATATGGTTCAACAAATTTAATTTTAAATCTATATTGAATAATAGAAAAATGGGGTTGAACCGACCTCCAAACGATCCATGATTCTATAATAAGGAGTACCAGATTGCACTCATGCTTACATTTACATCCGTAAAAATTGAGTAACTGATGTTTTGTTTTATTTCTCCAAATATTCAAAGCAATTTGACAATAGTCCCTGCTTACTGTTATTTTTTTTAAAAATGGATACCTGTAACATATTTTAATTGCTCATTTTTAAAAACTTACTTTTTGTGGACGTCGCATGGCGACGTTTTCGTAGATTTTACTTTTCCAGTAAACACTTCATCTGTTTATATATACTGTGAACATTTTGTGAGTATTTAAATATATTTAGCTATGTTGAAAGACGTGCATATAGTCAAATAATAAAAATACAAAGTGTTTGGTCTCTAAGAAAACTTGTAAGATTTCCTCTGCTATTTTTGCTAAATAGATGCAATTTGGGTACTCGGTGCAATTTGGGTACTATGACGTTACACTTTGTTAATTGTCCATATACATTGAACCGATGACAAAACAAAAGTAAAACATAACAATAATAAACAGTATTATACCATGTGAAAAATGATTGCAGTTACAGTAAGCCGACAATGGTTTTGTTTAACAACACACTTAATTTTCCTGATGTTGTTAACATTGTAATTGTTAGAAATGTACAAATTCATTCAGAATCATGTCCCTTTTCATTTTTGTTAACATTTCCCTCGTGTCCTAAAGGTACTTCATACCTGGGTGACGGAAGCATCGTATAGTTTGCATGCTTCATTGCTGGTTGTCGACAGAGGAAGTCCAGCGTCAATCCAAGCCTATAAAATAATAATTCTATTGTAACGTTCATTTTGATTGGAAAACGCTATAAGTTTCATGGCATCCATTCAACGATTGATGGTATGAAAATGTGCGCACTTGCCAGTGTATGCTCTAGTAATGTTTCTTTCAGTTGCATAAGAATGGAGATAACAGTATTGCATTTTTGATTTGGTGGTAGCAAAAAACTGTGTAAGTACCAAGTAAACTCAATTTGTGCCAATCAAATCTCAAATTGATTCCCGCAACTATTCATATGCAATACTGCGATCTCCTAAATGATGAACTTCAGTTCGTAAATATACTTTTTCACTTTTTTGGTCTTTTGGAAAATGTTGTTTGTGCTGTATTTAGACCCCTCTAACAAGAAATTTGTTTTGCATGCACACGTAAAAAAATTGCGGTTTTTATCCATCGCAATCATAGGTTTAAACGTTGTTTTCAATTTAGACTTATTTATATATATATATATATAGAGTCTATAAGAATCTACCAACCAGTAAACTTAATAGGTATTGGATCATCAAGATTGACAATACTACACAAACAGGGAAAATTATATGAGTCTAAAAGATTGTGTAACAATACCGATAAATAGATGGGAAACAAAACACTAAAAAGTGTTAATATCATCGCACAAAGATGGAAAAACTGAACAGATGATATAAATTATACAATAATTGCTAATATTTCGGCTCAACAAATGGCCTTCCTCAGTGTTAAAAGTTTTAACAATACTGATATATAATGTTAAGGTGTAAACATATAGATCAATAATAATACAAGTAAGTTTTGGTCGATTGATTTTAATCCAAAATCCTGAATATCATAATATAAACATTAGACTGTAAATTTAATTATTTCTTTCTATTGATTCCATCTGGATGGAGGACACCCAGTGTTTTTATCCAAAACTTCTCCCGATTCTCTCTTTGCCTATTTTGCCATGTACAATCCTGTTCGATCACAAGGATCTTCATGTGATCAAAATCTTTCAGATTGTGATCTGGTAACCTGAAGTGTTGGCTGACAGGAATATACGGTTTTTTTGTGAGGTCACTCCTGTGGCCATTAAGGCGTTTGTGAAATGGCTGCATAGATTCACCAACATATTGGAGACCACATATAGGACACTCAAGAACGTAAATCACGTTTGATCTTTTGCAGTTGACATTGCAGAAGATCTTGTATGTCTTTTCTGTGGTCTTACTGTGTAATGTTGATGAATGCTGCAATTGGTTGCAACATTTGCAGCGCTTATCCCCACAAGGCTGGCAATTACCTACAGTATGGTTAGGTTTGGAAAGGTCAGCACGGACAAGTATATTTCTCAGGCTGTTAGGTTGTTTGAAGGCAATCATGGGAGGCTCAGGAAAGATTTTGGATAACTTAGAATGTTAGCAGAAGCAGTCTGCTAACTTACAAAGAAAAACAGAAAAGTAAAAGAATCCCATGTGTGTTCACCTACCATCCATGCCTGAGAAATAGTTTCAAGACCATTCGTGATCATTGGACAGCAATCGAGAAACATTCTAAGTTATCCATATATATAAACAAGTCTAAATTGAAAACAACGTTCAAACCTATGATTGCGTTGGATAAAAACCGCAATTTTTATACGTGTGCATGCAAAACAAATTTCTTGTTAGAGGGGTCTAAATACAGCGCAAACAACATTTTCCAAAAGACCAAAAAAGTGAAAAAGTATATTTTAACAAAACGCATTTGACTAACAGGTCGAACAACAAATGTTCTTAAACCCTGCTGACTGCCATTGGCGATTGCCAAATAAACGGATCACCGATGTAATAAATAGATCGTAATTATAAATTTAATACTAAACAGAAAACAATAAATTAGCGGAAAAGATGGTATACCGCAAACAAAAGGTGCAAAGGTTTTTGTACACCATATCCGGATTTCGACAATTAATGTCTCTTCAGTGATGTTAGGAATCGAAACGGTATTTGGAAAGCCATAAAATTTACCTCAATTTTGGATAGACTCTTGAATTTTGAGGAGTCAAAATAGGATGAACGGATCATATAAACCCGAAGGCAAATATAATACAAGCCCAAACGAAAAAATATAAACAAGTCTAAATTGAAAACAACGTTCAAACCTATGATTGCGTTGGATAAAAACCGCAATTTTTATACGTGTGCATGCAAAACAAATTTCTTGTTAGAGGGGTCTAAATACAGCGCAAACAACATTTTCCAAAAGACCAAAAAAGTGAAAAAGTATATTTTAACAAAACGCATTTGACTAACAGGTCGAACAACATATGTTCTTAAACCCTGCTGACTGCCATTGGCGATTGCCAAATAAACGGATCACCGATGTAATAAATAGATCGTAATTATAAATTTAATACTAAACAGAAAACAATAAACTAGCGGAAAAGATGGTATACCGCAAACAAAAGGTGCAAAGGTTTTTGTACACCATATCCGGATTTCGACAATTAATGTCTCTTCAGTGATGTTAGGAATCGAAACGGTATTTGGAAAGCCATAAAATTTACCTCAATTTTGGATAGACTCTTGAATTTTGAGGAGTCAAAATAGGATGAACGGATCATATAAACCCGAAGGCAAATATAATACAAGCCCAAACGAAAAAATATAAACAAGTCTAAATTGAAAACAACGTTCAAACCTATGATTGCGTTGGATAAAAACCGCAATTTTTATACGTGTGCATGCAAAACAAATTTCTTGTTAGAGGGGTCTAAATACAGCGCAAACAACATTTTCCAAAAGACCTCAAAATTCAAGAGTCTATCCAAAATTGAGGTAAATTTTATGGCTTTCCAAATACCGTTTCGATTCCTAACATCACTGAAGAGACATTAATTGTCGAAATCCGGATATGGTGTACAAAAACCTTTGCACCTTTTGTTTGCGGTATACCATCTTTTCCGCTAGTTTATTGTTTTCTGTTTAGTATTAAATTTATAATTACGATCTATTTATTACATCGGTGATCCGTTTATTTGGCAATCGCCAATGGCAGTCAGCAGGGTTTAAGAACATTTGTTGTTCGACCTGTTAGTCAAATGCGTTTTGTTAAAATATACTTTTTCACTTTTTTGGTCTTTTGGAAAATGTTGTTTGCGCTGTATATATATATATATATATATATATATATATACAGTGCAGGCGATTTGGTGTCACGATATCTCAGTAGCATGAGTTCGAATCCCGGCGAGGGAAGAACAAAAAATTTGCGAAAGCAAATTTACAGATCTAACATTGTTGGGCTGATGTTTAGACGAGTTGTATATATATATATATATAAGAAAATTAATATAAGATAATGACGGTTTCAATTCATCACGTTTACTAGCGCTTTCACTGCTTTCACAGATCTTCAGGTAATGTGACTTGCATACATAAATGTTATAAAACAATTGATTGACGTTAACAATAGTTGTATACATAAATGTTATAAAACAATTGATTGACGTTAACAATAGTGTTAACAACTATTGTTAACGTCAATCAATTGTTTTATAACATTTATGTATACAAGTCACATTACCTGAAGATCTGTGAAAGCAGTGAAAGCGCTAGTAAAAGTGATGAATTGAAATCGTCATTATCTTATATTCATTTTCTTATATGTTACCAGCATACGGATTCTATTTGACTTTTTTCTATATATATAATTGATTGACGTTAACAATAGTATGACGTTAACAAATACAAGGGAGACTACTAATGTCATTTTAAAATTGGAGTAAAGTCTTTAAAATGTTTCGTAAAAATTAAAATATTATTTATCATTTAATCCCGGGTTGAGAATGTTTATGAATAATTCTTCTTTCTTCTTCCGGAGAAAATCATTTTGACGATTGACCATATACAACGGAAATATATTAAATCGTCCATTAGAACAACGATGGAAATGGTCGTTAGCCCTGATGATTGTTAAATCTTCATGGTTGGTTTGCTGTCTATGTACAGTCATTCTAGTCCGCAGTTCTGTTTTTGTCTCTCCAATATAGAATTCCTCACAATTTGCACATATGAGAGAATAAATGACGTTTGAACTTTTACAAGACATATTTTGTTTAACTGTGAAATGCTTTCCATTTTTGAAATAAATTGAACTTTCTTCTATTAAATCTGGACATGTCATACATCGTTTATCGGTACATTTTCTAACAATAGGCGAAGTTTCATTAAAGTCGAATTTTGAAGATGTTAAATATCGTTTTAGACTTTTTGACTGTCTTTTACTGCTGATAATCTTCTTTTTTTGTAATACTTTGTCCATTTTTTCACTTTTGTGTAAATTATTTTCAATTTGTCGCATGAAACTAAATATATCATAATCTCGTGGGTTATATGTTGTGACAAACGGGATAATTTTGTCTAAACTTTTTGATGATTCTTCGGTTGTTTCGGATCGCCGTGATTCTGTAATGATTGGTCCTTTTATCAGTGCCTTTTGAATTCCGTAATCTATCACTTGTTCCGGATATTGCTGCTTTTTTAAATACACTTTTAATTCTTCCAATCTTTTATTGCGTAATAGTTCTGTACTCAATACATCTTTTATTGAGTAATAGTTCTGTACTCAATACATCTTTTATTGCGTAATAGTTCTGTACGCAATATTTGTCAACACGATTTAATAACAACATCTTCGTATAATACCATCTTATATAAGTATCGTTGTGCAAATCTCTAGACTTATATAATTTTTTCCTTATCTGCACAGTATCGTCTATTCTAGACGATCCTGTACATAGTAAATTTGCTGGTTGGTCCTTTTTATAGACTTCTAGAAAATTACCTTTTTGATCCATAAAACAAAGGGGCCACATGACATTCTTTATTCTTCAGTAATAATTTCTATCGGTCTTTAACAGAAAAAAATGGACCGGAAAACCGGTCGTTAACAGACTTTTACATGTTAATGACCGGTGGGGCGTGGTTTCTCTGTTTAGAGAGATGTCCCTTTAATAAAAGGATTTTAATTTCATATTGAAGTTGTTGAATTGTTTACCATATATTTTTGTTAATAATAAAATTATAGAAAAATTTATTTTGTTTTCATATATTGAAAAAAATTATTTAAATGAATGGTAGTGACTTATAGTTATCACTATGACTGGTCTTCACTCTTTCCTATAGAAATCGTACAATGACTCGAATTTGTTTTGAACAATTTGAATTTATGAGAATTTTTAAAAACATGGTTCCTCAATGAAATAAACATAATAGTTATTGAAGAACTGGTCATTATCGTGATACAAGGACTGCCCGTCGGACAGTGATATTGACTGCGACAGCGATAATATATACCTTCAGACCGATACTATTAATAAAGCAAATACTAGTATCAAAAAGACTGAAAGTTAGTCTAAAGCCAAATTCCAACTATCTTCTCAGACAAAAATATCAATCAGTCCACCTTAAACGGATTTAGTATAAAAACGTCATAAGCAGTCTAGCTGAGGAAAGCATACATGACCTTGTGCAATGCGAAAATGTAAGTATCGCAATATAAGACCAGTGTTAAACCAGCTAACTGAGCTGAACAATCAATCATAGCAAACAAATATAGCTGAATAATTTGCAAAATGGTTCCAACGGTGTAGGTAACTGGATAGCAATTCATATATGTTAAAATAATATGTATCAATAAATAAAATCGATGTTAGTATACCGATAAAGAAAATACTATAACTCTGAGTGTATTCAAATTAAGAAACAACAAATTAACATGGATCGTATCGTGATCTTTAATGTGTGTATATGACCGCATATATTGTGCACATTATCATGTGTTTTGCTTCCTGTTTGGGATAGTTGGCGATGAACAAGCGGAACGGTTTGAAAAAGAAGTGATTAAGATTCCAGGTTTTAAGCGTTTAAATAATGTTTTTGTAAATCTACCTGACTTTTTTAAGTGACAAGTATAAATGGCTTTACCTTGCAGTCTCTCCAATTTGTTCTCATGTCGACTCGCTTTTATGTAAACAATGTATGGTGGTCCGTAAGGTCTATATATAGACACTAGACTATGAACAATATTTATTTGCATAAACCAGAGACATATATATGTCTCTGCATAAACACATTTTACATTAATGGTTATGGCATGATAAAATACAATGAAAAAGACAGTCGTCAATATTATATAATAAGGTAGTGACATAGGCTTTCATATAAGAATTAAAAAAATAGATAATAATAAATGACTACAACTATACATGTATTTTTTAAAGGGGCATTATCTGTTAAATTCATGTTCACCGATTTGACTCAAATTCTCGTATTTGATTTGTAACATACTAAAACGTATATCCAAATTAAAAAAAGTCTAAATTAACCAATTAACAATACATGGACTCGATAATATGTATCAGCATTTTGTGTGTATTTGAGTCTAGACGCAAACTTATTAACCATCGAGATGACCATAATGACATCCGAAGACTGCCAACGGTCATGCAACCCGATATACATAAATATAAATATAAATAGATAGCGAGCAGGTGCAATTGGATTTTTTTTTAGGTCTGTTTGATTTCATATTATAGGTTAAAAGATATGTTTATCATCGTTTTTACCTATATAAGAATGATTTTTTATGGATCGAATCAGTCAACTAAAATTGTTCACTCTTGTTTCATTTTCAATGTTGACATTATTTTCCTTTTAACAGCTGTCGCCTAGTACATGCGTAACTCATTTCTAACCAAGGTGTTAACTTGAAGGTCACGGGAATACGGATTCATCATTGAGGTTAAATTATTGACTTGCAAATTTGGGTCAAACTGACTGCTTATAACGAAATTTTACTTCAAAATTTAATCTTTTATTAATATTGAAACAAAATGGATCGTATTTTTTTTCTAAATCATATATAATGCTCTTTAAATGTACATACAAATTTTAACACTTTTTCTTTATGAGAGACTATCATTAATGTCTTTTGTAATTTTGAGGACCAGTTATCGCCAGTTTCCAGTTACCGTCAGCTGTCATTTTATTAAATAACGGAAGCGTTGGATAAAAACAACAGACTGCTGATAAATTCGGACAAAAAATTTTGCTTCATTTGTAAAAACTCCGTTTTGTTTCAACCCATTTTAAGATAGGAAAATACATAATTTTCTGTAAATTGAACTTGCCGTTGGGAGATACAAGTGTAGGGACATGCCTTCATCGCTTTGTCACGTCCTCGATTATGGAAAACTAAATCCTTACCGTTTTGAGACAAAGCAATATTTAACTTGTTTTAGAATATTTAATTTTCTTTCAAAAGAATTTAAAAAGATTTATAAATTTCAAAATTAAAATCTATAGTCTTTCAATACAGTGTATACGCTACCCCAGTGGTTTGTTTCAAATGACACATAACAGTTAATTTTCAGTGCAGGAAGGAGACCTTCCAAATTAATGGTCAGAATGGCGATGTGTTTGGTTCAATTGACATACGTTCTTCTCTTCTTTCGACGCAAACGCAAAATGTTACATTAATGTCCCGATTATAAATGTAAATTCTGTCATTTAATGGCAAGATTCAAAAGTGACAGTAACTGGTCATCATATCTATAAAATTTCCCGCAAAAATCGGTATACTTGTTTAGGCTTGGGACTATTATACTAATAATATATTATGTTCCAGTTTAGGCCTGCGACTTTTTTTTACTAATAATATTATTTCCCAGCTTAGGCCTATAAGAGAAATTAAAGTCCGGGTCTAAGGTGCTAAAAGTAACTTTTGGTAACCCTTTTTATGTTAAAAGAATATTTCCCTAAAGTGTTCCTGATAAAGTTTACTGATTTTGATTTATAACATACTTAAACGTATATTCACAGTGTGGGAACGGAACTGTACGGTTTTTTAATTGTTTGGTCATTCGCCATTCGGGAGACTGTCAAGCGGGTCTCCGACACTCGCATGACTTAAAAAACGGTACAGTTCCGTTTGCACACTGTGATATTAAAATACAAAAAGTAAAAAAGAAACAAATAGCAATGCATGGACTTGTTATAATGTTTCAGTATTTCGTGCGTATTTTAGACTAGACGCCATCTAAGATGACCTCCAACTCTGAGACTACCCAAGGATTTATATAGTTACTATATAAGACGTCATATAAATCCTTGGACTACCGAAATTAGATTTTTACTTGGCAATAAAATACGCGATTGTCTAAAAGTTTTGTTGTTGTTGAAAACTTATATATACCTTGAAATTACGCCCCAGTTCCTCTATCACGAGTTTCCAACGTATAAAACAATATACATAGATTTAACCTTTGTGTTCTGTTCACTTTACACCCACCGTCACCCCCCCCCCCTCCCCCCCCCCCCCCCAAAAAAAAAAAAAAAAAACACAAGAAAAACACCGTACACAGAAAGAAATTTGACTCAGATGACTTAATGAATAGTCATCTGCTGAAATATCATTTTTGATTCAAGTAGGCGTTCTAGTTCTGCATGTAAATCATATCAAATGATTGGTTGTTGATTGCTTAACGTCCAGTGGCAAATATTTCATGCATATTCAGGACCATATCCAACTATCGCGGTCATCACGTGACTTTTACAATTCAGTAATGGCCGATTGATTATCAATGAAAATGAACGGGCTACATAGATTAAACGATAATAACTTTTTTGTTACATTGTGTATTTTACCTTCCAACCCCGCGTTTTATAGTATTTTCATTTTTACAATTAAAAATGTTTTAAGTTTCAGTTCAGAAATATGATTTCTTGCTTCAAATTAAGTTTGAAAATGGAGGTGACATAACCACACAGCCTCCGTTGACTTCTTCGTTAAAACTCAATAAAATTGCAATGGGACCTTCTTATATGATCAATTTTCTCAACTTATTATTTGTTAATAGTATCCTTCCAACCCCTAAAAAGATCGACAACACATTCATTTAAATGAAATCGAAACCCAAATCAGTTTAGGTAACTAACTTTTTGCTTCAAAATTTGATTGAAAAGTTTACATTTTGACATTCGTTAACAATATTTTGAAAATGGCGGCCGATGTCGGAAGTGAACAAAGACACGACATGTATTCATTTAGCAATTAATCAAAAAAGTAATTTGTGAAATATTTATTAAAGGGTGTCTTATTGTTTATAGAAATTTCTTATTTCACCTTTAAATCAATATATTTATTAGAAACAGTCTCTTGCACTCAAAACAAAGATTTATATGCATCAACCATGCATTGTTTACATTGACCATGTTGACAGCGTAGGTCGACTTGTGAAAATATATATTGTAATATTTTTACGATGAAAATAAAAAAACTGTTGGATGCATGCGTTTTCAGTTTTTGTCTTACCTTAAAGCAGCATAGAATCAAATATTTTGTCTTTTTGATAAAGTAGATACATGCTTTTTGTTTTGATAAAATTTCGAAGTTACGAAAAAAATGGCGACCAAACAATTTTCAAACGTAGACGATGTTCGACACTAATTTTGCCCATGCAAATAACACAATTTAATTTCACTGTTTATATTGCAATTAAATATGACACGATATTGTCACTCTAATAATACCCAAGGACATAGCTTGATTAAGGAGATATTAAGTCATCAACGTGATCAAAGAAAACAAACACGGCACCTAATCACGATGTAAGATCATGTAAGTTTTGACAAGACTTATGTAGATTAGTATGGTCCGATTCTTATAGAAATTATTTTATGGTATTATTTTATATTAATAAAAAAAACCTCGAAACCCCGAGGTGAAATATCTATATTTTTCAATTTTCTAAATCTTTCATCACACGGGTTACCAGTGAATTTTTCATAATCCTAATTAAACCAGTAACATGCAGAGTTATCGAACGTAATTATGACTGGTATAGTTGCATATGGGTCATTGTATTTATATCAAAGGAAAAGGTAAGTCTTAATGATGTCGCCGATTTCGGATAATGACTGATTTCATTGAGGACGAAAGGTTAGAAAAAAAATAGTTAAAAATTTAGTTACAATGCATTTTTGCTAAATCAAAAAAGAAAAGAAAAAGGAAATGTTTCCCTTTAGTACCCCTTTTGGATAACCGGAAGTTATGTTATCTGAGGCGTTCCGAGCGGAATGTTTATTTTCGTTGCTGGTGGTTGTGAAATTTACCACATAATTTTACCTTTTTTCTGTCATTAAACTAAAGAAATGTGATAGAAAGTACAGAAGCAGACAGAAAGTAGGCAATATCTTTATTTCGTGCTGGTATTTTTTTTTACTGCATAGGTTTTGCATTTATTTTTAGATAAATCTGGACACACAATTAATGAAAACGAAAGTACATTTTTTTTTACATTTATGTACGATAGATCTTATTGAAAATTCTTTACACATTTGTGCATGTGCTTTCCTATGTGCCTTAAAGAAGATTCTGGACCAGTACCATCACAAAATACACTATACAATAAGATTTTCAGACAAATAAAATTATAAATTAAAAATTAAGTCCATATAATCAGAGACATATATATATCCAGAGATTGGCAACTACGTGAAATCACGTTATTTCATGCAGACTGGAATGAGAATATCGCCGATTTATTACTCTACAAATTGGGGAAGAATAACCTTCGATAGCTAACCAAAATAAACAAAAACAAAAAACCAATGGGAACACTTACCTCAGATAAAATAATTTCTTTTCTAAAAAGCTACATGTAACTGAAATCGTAATTATTATCTTTATGTTTTTATTCAGAAATTTTTTTTCTGCTTTTCAGCATTTCTAATTATTTTAAAATTAAAATCTGGCAGAGATTATTATATTGATAATGCATTAGAAACATTTCTGTACTAATCATTTATTTGCTAAAGTTTGTTCCTAAATTACACAGTGAAATTATGTCCAGGTTCGATTCTCCTTTAGATAATTCCTTAGAGTTGTGATTGTGGATTGTGGATTCACAGGTGTGCTATTACGTAATTTATTGCCCTCCTCTATAAAAAACCTAAGTCAACATAGCTGACAGCTATAATACTGATTTTTATACGACCGCA